GTACTCATTCCCAGTTGGGTCCTCGCGGCTCCCTGGGGGGCTGCGAAGTGCGCAACTATCGCCAATTTCGCTAGTTCCAGGGAGGTCCAGCGGAGTGGAGTGGTACTCATTCCCAGTTGGGTCCTCGCGGCTCCCTGGGGGGCTGCGAAGTGCGCAACTATCGCCACTTTCCAGGGGCCCCTGGGAGGTCCAGCGGAGCGGAGTTGTACAGGATCCAGTTGGTTCCTCGCGGCTCCCATCGGGGCTGCGAATAGCGCAATCGTCGCCCCTTTTGTGGGCTCTTAGTGGGGCTGCGCGGGGATCCAGGTGGGACCTCGCGGCGCTGTCCATACGCAGCGCTCGGCGTTGTCGCGTGGCAGCCCCTTCCTCAGCTGCCTCTGGCCCGCCATGCCGCCCCGCGCGCTTGCATCGCTCAGCGCGGCGCGCTGGTCTGCTACCAAGCGAGCGCATGGCGCTGTTCTTTCCGCATGTGTAGCGCTCGGCGCTGCTGTTGTTACGGAACATGTACGTCCCTATTTCGCACCCCTCTGTATGCTTCTGTCTCCATATCTGTAGTGTTTATGCATGTTTGCTGTATGGCGTTGCTCGGGGAACTCATTCGTACTGGTCATATCTACATGCTATTTACAGGGATATATGCAACCATATCCGTGTATATACATGCATATACGTATGTATGTACGTACGTATGTAAGTATGTATGGACGTGTATGTGTGTATGCATGCATGTATGTTTGTGTGTGCATGTGTGTGCATGTGTGTGCATACATATGTAGTTGTGTGCAAGAGTTGACGGTTCGTTTGCTTCGCCCCAAACGTTGGTCTTGGGTCTTGGCGTTGCCGGGTGGCTGCCGAAGGTTGCATCGGTGCGGAACTATCACGACCACGTGGGGGTGCGGGTCACTGGCTGGATGGAGCCTACCTGAATTTTCATGCTATGAGGGAAGGGCGGCGCTGCCACGATGGCGAGGGTGAGGGCTCGACGGCGGGGTATGCCATTATCCGACGTGTGGTAACCGCTACGAGGTCGATGGGGGTGTACATCATGGCCGCCAGCGGGGTGAAGGTCATGGACCAATGGGGCCTGGGCCGAGGCCACGATGCCGATGGTTTGGAAAAAGTAATCGGTGAGATGGGCGCGACGGGGGTGAAGGTCACGATCCGAGAGCGGTTACCACTACAACGTGCATTGATGGAGGTTGATGGCATCTCTGCGGTACGGCTCTCAAACCCTGGTCGCAGAAGGGGGCGTCAGGAATTCGTGGGAAGGGGGGTCGCGGTGATAACCGCGAAGGTGCGAGGGTGGTAACCGCGAGCGGGGTCTCGGTTGTGATCGTGAGGGTGTCGATGTTTATGCAGGGTTCTACTAAACTGCTCCAAGGTCCAAGGTCGTTCACCGTAGAGGGCTGGGAGCGCGCGCGACCTTGAAAGGCGCATCCGAATCTGACCGCCAGCGCAACTTCGAGCGCGGCCTCGGGGGCGCCGGTGTTTCGCGGAAGTCTCGAGCCGAAGTCGCACTGGAGAGGAGGATGGGCAGGGGCAGTGAAGGGATGCGTGGGGGAGATAAGCCTTCTGCGAGTTCCCATGAGTCAGGAAGGGTGCGTGGCGGTTTTGTTTGGAAGTTACGGGCTGGGCGTTCTGGGGGCGTTTGTGAGGTCGTTTGGAGGTTTCGTGGTGTCTCGGGGCCGTTTGGGGCACGTGGCGCCGCCTGTTCTTAGAAACCTTGGCGCGAAGAACCGCTGGTCGTTTTTGGGAGCCTTGGCGTTCGCATCTTTTGTGGCGCCGACTCGTTTACTAGAGGGCGTGCCCGTCCCCTGGAACTCCGGGATCCTTGGCGTCCATGTTGGGTCCGTCACAGGGCCGCCTGAGTCTTAGCGCCAAACCTGAGTTCGTCAAGGGGCCGTCTTGGACCCCTCTCGGGGGGAGAGCATGTCACAAATTGTCGGAAACATTTTGGGGGCCTCTTGGGTTTTTTTGGGGGGCGTGTTGGGCTGTGTGGGTGGCCTCTAGGGGGCTTTTTGGGGGTCCATTGGTGGCCTTTGGGGCATTTGGGGGGCCTCGTGCACCGTGTTCGGCCCCTCCTGGGCCGTGTTCGGGTCCTCGGGGGCTGTTTGGGGGCCGTCTTTGGCTATCTTGGTGCTCTTTTGGGCAGCTTCGGGGCCGTCTCTGGAGCTTCTTGGGCCGTCTTGGGCCGCGCTGGTGCCGTCTGCGGGCGGGCGTTCGGGGCCGTCTCGGAAGTTGTTTGGGCCGTTTGGGGGCAATCTCGGGAATTCGTTGGGCCTGCGTGGTGTATAGGATGCCAGAAACAATCCCCAAAAACGCTACAATTCATTCGAAATCTCAGCCAAGTCGTAGATAGTTGCATCTCGCGGCTCCCTTTGGGCGTCTCCTGGGGCCATACTGGGAGGCTGTTGGGTCGTGTTTTGGCCGTGTTGGGGCCAGTTGGAGACCGTCCTCTTTTGTCCGCGTTGGGGGTCGCTGCGAGGCTACTGGGGGAGTGCGGTTGGCTAGCCGGGGATGCCCGGGAAACGTGGGGGCTGTCCGAAAAGGTGCCCTGGGCCAGGGGGGGGGCTGGCCGAAAGGGGTCCCGGGTTTTTCCGAAGGGGGGTATCCGTGGGGGTTTAATTCCATGCAGAATGTGAAAGTATATTGGAATACGTCCGCCACGTGTTCAGAAGAAAGGTTTGGTGCGTCACCGCGCAATTGTTGTTCAATCTTGGGCGTATTCTGCACGCGCTTCGGCCGCCCGGGGCCGCTCACCGTCGACGGCGCGTCAGAGTGGCCCTTCGCCGGAGGGGGCCCTTGCTGCGGGCCCGCGGGCCCCCTCCCCCAATCGCGGAGCGCACTGCGATATATATAGCAGCGGCCCGCGTGCTTGGGTCTGGCCCCCCGCGCCCCCCCCCCCCCCGAAAACCGCCGCACGCGGCGAGCGAGGAGGGGAATCTGGGAAATGAGATGGGGAAAACCCGATCAGAAGGCGGCGGGAGTTCTCAGAAGCCCTCGCGCCTTCAGGAATTGTCTGCATCTTCGGGGAAGGCTTAGAACACGTCTTGGCAGGCTGGGGGGCTTCCGAGCCTTCTGAGAAGGCTCGCCCCTTCTCACTTCCCCCCGGGCGCGCCGCCTGGTGTGGCCGATTCGAGACCACCAGGCATGCATCCGGGGCCGATGAGCGAGGATGCGGTGCCAGGCGAGGCCGCGGTGTGGTACGGCCTCCTTTGCTCCAATCGCCGGGCATTGCTCGGGCGTGTGCCTTCGGTCGGGCGAGGGCAGTCGGGGAGCATGTTGGGTCATATTGACGGGGAGTGGACGTCCGAGCGATGGCGATATCGTAGGGACCCCCACCAGGTTGCGGTCAGGTGCGATGTATCTATTCATCGCTCCGCGTCGCTGTAAACAGCGCAATCAGCTGCTCCCCAAGTGGAAGAGGTCGGCCTTAATTTCTGGGGCCGCGCACGGAAGCACAACGCATCGTCGGATGTCCAGGGCCGTCAACGCGGCGGCATCATCGGCAACGGCGGCTTCTGTAGCACAATTGTCGTGTAATCTGTTTTTGTATGTATTGTTTTGCCGATCGGCGCGGGCCGTCGCCCTCCTCTCCCCCCCCCCCGTGGAGTAGATCTTGGCTGCTTCTGGCGCCTGTTTCGAGCAGGTGGGATCTCCCCCCATAGGACGCACTGTCGCAAACAGTCGCACTAAGCAGAGATCCGGAGCCAGACCCCCCCCCTTTCCCCCCCCCTTCCGCCCAATGTCGAAACGCCGAATGAGAACACGCTCCCCATCATCAACACGGCGGCTTTGGTGGCGTGGCGCAGCTGCCATCAACATCGTCATCGTAAGCATGCTCACGGCTTCCATCGGCAGCGCCACCAGCACCTTCATTCACACACACACACGCACGCACGCACGCACGCACGCACACACAAACACCCGCACGCACACGCACACGCACACGCACACGCACACGCACACGCACACGCACACGCACACGCACACGCACACGCACACGCACACGCACACACACACACACACACACACGCGCACGCGCACGCGCACGCGCACGCGCACGCGCACGCGCACGCGCACGCGCACGCGCACGCGCACGCGCACACGCACACACACACACGCACGCACACGCACACGCACACGCACACGCACCACGCACACGCACACGCACACGCAACACGCACACGCACACGCACACGCACACATCACAACCACACCACGACGCACACGCACACGCACACGCACACACGCCACACGCACAACGCACACGCACACGCACACGCACAAGCACACGCACACGCACACGCACACACACACACAAACACACACACGCACACGCACCCGCACCCGCACGCACACGCACACGCACACGCACACGCACACGCACACGCAACGCACACGCGCACGCACACGCGCACGCACACGCACACGCACACGCACACGCACACGCACACGCACACGCACACACACCACACACACACACCACACACCACACACACACACACACACAACACACACACACTCACACACACACACACACACACACACACACACACACACACACACACACACACACACACACTGCGGGCCTTCGGTAGGGAATGTGCCCAGGAGGCTTTGGACATTGGAGGGTGCCTTATCTGATCCGGTCGGCGGTGATCTCCGTGGCCACTCCACGTTGGGAGTTCCACCGACTACCCCCCTTCCTGATACGTTGTCCGAGGTTTCTGTGAAGCCCCGCCGCCTTCTGAGAGGTCCCTCTCCTTCTCACTTCCCCGCGTCGCTCACCGTCGACCCAGGCCTTGGATTCCTGAAGTGTCCAGTCCCAGGCCCCCGGCGGCAGGCTTCTTCCATGACGTCGACCCACGAGGCCTGGACCCATTCCCCGGGGCCGGTTTCTCGTCCTGAGTCGTTCTTGGACCGGGACGGGCCTCCGGAGGCCGAAAATAAGGAAAAGCCTCCCGTCATGACTTCTTCATTGCCCGAGGGGGTCTGGGATGTGGTTCCTTGTCCGATGCCCTTGCCGTGACCTCCCCGCCGTCACCGGCCACTGTGGCTCGGAGGGGCCGTGCAGCACCTGGCGCGCCGGCACCCCCGCTCCTTGGGCGCCAGCTTGCGGCGTGTGCGCTGCCCGGTCTCACGGGTCCAGGCACAGCAACGAACCACAACAAATTCTTCGTGGATTCGTCTGGAGGGCCCCTCGGACAATGAAAAAATCACGACGATAGGTTTTCCCAAGTGTTCGGCCTCCGGAAGCCCTTACCAGCCCTCGGGACCGTCAACAAAACGACTCAGGATGAAACACCGGTCCCGGGTACTGGGTCGAGAAGTCGGGGGTCGACGTAACGAACAAAACATGACGTCGGGGGTCTGGATCTGGAGGGCCCCTCGAGGCATGAACACACACACACAGTACACACACACACAACGTGGCCGTCCAGGACGCCCAGATCGACCACAACCACTATACTGAGCTGGTTTCGGTGATCTGACGATTGTGGGCGTGCGTAAGTCGGAGGCGAGCCATGGGGGGAAGTGAGAGGGGGCTGGCCTTCTCAGCAGGCTCGGGAGTCCCCCGGCCTTCTTAGCAGTTTTCTCTCTGAGCCTCCCCCGAAGATGCAGAAAACCCTTCCGAAGGCCAGAGGGTTTCTGAGAAGCCCCGCCACCATCTGAGAAGGCTGTCTCCTTCTCACATCCCCCCCTCGCTCGCTGCCAAATGCGGGCAAGATTCATTGGCTGACGCCGCACCGCCGACCCCTTGGGGCGGCAGTAAGAGTGAAAAACGGAGTTTACGAAACGATGTCTGGGGAAGGGTTTCAGCTTCTAGGGATTTCGTCGGGGGCGGTTGGCGGATCGCGGCTCTGCTTTTGGGCTTCTCTGGGTTCTCCTGTCTGCACTTTCGAGGCCTCTTGGGAGCCGTTTTGAGGCCTCTAGGAGCCTCTTTTGGGCCTCCCAGGGGCCTCGTGGGAGCCTCTTGGGGGCCTATTGGCGCCTCCTCAGGTTGTTTCGGGGCCGAGTGCTCGAAATGTTCATTCGGGTTCCCCCTCTGGGCCTCCTCTTGGGGTCGTCCTGGGGCCCTCGTGGGTCGTTTTGGAAGCTTCAAGGGCCGTCTTGGGGCCCTCTTGGGCCGTCTTGTAGCCTTCTTTGGGACCTCTTGGGCCATCTTGGGTCGATCTGAACGGCTTCTTGGGCCGCTGTTGGCCTCGTGAACGCCCAAGAGGCGAATGTGCCTAAATTATACGTACTCCCTAGGGCATGGGACGTTTTTTGCATCTGGAGGGCCTCTTGGGACGCCTATTGGTGACTTCTTGGGGCGCCTTGGGGGCGTCTGGGACCGTCTGGAGGCAATCTTGGGCATCTCGGAGCGATCTTCCGGCGACTCGTAGCCCTCTTGGATCGTCCGGGGGGGCTTTTTGGGGCCCTCTTGGCCCATTTTGGGGCCCCCTGCAGAGGCTCCAAGGGCCAAACCGGCTGGACCGGGCTCCTGGGGGAGGGGTTTTGGGAGGGGGACGCATCTCACATGCCGTGACCCCAAGGGGTCGGCGGATTCATATCCATATCCAAGGCCGAGGCGCAGTGGATGTGGACAAAGTTTTAGCCTCTGTACGTCACCACCCACCAAACCACCCCAACCCAACCCGAAAGCTCAGATTTACTTTCGATTTCCAGTGGGGGGGGGTCGGGAAACATCGAGAAAATACATGTGGAACCCTTACCCCCCCAACCCGAAATTCGGGTCTTCAGGTTGGGTTGGGGTGGTCTGGTAGGTAGTCAGTACGACCAGATACTCATCCATGTCCACGGTGCCCCTGGTCTCTGGGAAGGGAGTTCGAGACTCCAAGACGCAGCAGATATGGATACGAGCTTGGTCTTCCGGTCATAATTCGGGTCTCGGGCGGCCGTTCGGATCTTAAGATCCCGGCACCCCGGGAACGCCCTCGGCACAGAACACGCCCGAAGAGCTCGAACCTCGACCCTCGAACCCGAAAGGTTCCCCTCCCCCGCTCGCCGCCGAGTGCTCGCCTGCCGTCCCCCGCAGGGGGGGGGACGCGCATGGCCGCCCACGCCTGCGCCGCCTCGCGGGCGCTGCAGGCCGCCGTGGCCTCGCGCTCCTTCCGCTGCCGCTACCACGAGGCCTTCGGCGCCTTCCCCCAGGACCGCGTCTTCGTGCCCGGCGTCGTGGACGCCAAAGGCCGCCGGGGCTCCAGAGACCCAGACCCTCTCGGGTTCTTCAAAAATTCACGGCGGGAAACTTTTCGCAGTTCACGGCGGGAGGCGTTTCGCGATCTTCAGCCTATGGGGGCCTTCACCGGCCCTCGGGACCGTTCAGAAACGGCTCAGGAAGAGAGGCCAGTCCTGGAGAATGGGTCGAGATTTCTGGGGGTCGACGTCATGAACAAATCATGACGTCGGGG